GGCAAGTTTTCTTAACTTCTAGTGGCTTAATCTTGCTGTTTTCTCTGACTAGGCAAGCCCAAAAAGAAAATTTGTATTCAAGAGATTCTGGTAGTCCGAGACTTCCCAGATGTGTTTTCAGACGAACTGCTCGGTCTGCCAGTGGACAGAGAAGTCGAGTTCACTATAGACCTACAGTCAGGTACCCAGCCCATTTCGGTTGCTCCTTACCGCATGAGCCGCATTGAGATGGAAAAGCTGAGGAAACAGATCACTGACTTGCAAGACAGTGGTTTTATTAGACACAGTGTGTCCCCTTGGGGTGCCGGAGTCACTTTTGCCAGGAAGGGAGATGGAACATTGAGACTATGTATTGATTACAGAGGATTGAACAAGGTTACAATTAAGAACAAATATCCCCTTTCCAAGATTGATGACCTCTTCGATCAGCTGCAGGGTGCACAGGTCTTCTCTAAAATAGACCTGCGATCAAGTTACCATCAGGTGAAGATAAGAACAGAAGACATCCCCAAGACAGCCTTTCGAATCAGTTACGGATACTATGAGTTCCTGGTCATGCCATTTGGGCTAACCAACGCCCCGGCAATCTTTATGGATATGATGAATAGGGTCTTCAGAGAGTTCTTGGATCAATTTGTTATCGTGTTCATCGATGACATCTTAGTCTACTCAAAAAGTAGAGAAGAACATGCTCACCATCTTGCCCAAGTTTTGCAGGTCCTCAAAAACAAGAAGTTATATGCAAAGTTGAGTAAGTGTGGATTCTGACTTGAGCAGACCGCCTTCCTAGGACACATCATATCGAAGGAAGGAGTATCAGTGAATCCCGAAAAAGTTGAAGCGGTACTTGGCTGGGAGAAGTTGACATCAGTTAAAGAAATCCGGAGCTTCTTGGGGATGGCAGGTTATTACCGCAGGTTCGTTGAAGGATTCTCCAGCCTAGCAGCCCCTCTAACCCGACTCACAAAGAAGAATGCCAAGTTTGAGTGGAATGAGGACTGTGAAAGAAGTTTTTCAGAATTAAAGAAGCGGCTGACTACTGCACCCGTACTGTCTTTACCGAGTGGATCGGGGGGATATACAGTTTATAGTGATGCCTCCTATCTAGGCCTGGGTTGTGTCCTGATGCAGCATGGGAAGGTCATAGCATATGGGTCCAGACCGGTAAAGAATCATGAGAAGAATTATCCCACCCATGACTTGGAGCTTGCCGCAATCATACACGCCTTGAAAACCTGGCACCACTACTTACACGGAGAGACCTTTCAGATCTATACCGATCATAAGAGTTTGAAACACATATTCACTCAGAAAGATCTCAACATGCGTAAGAGAATGTGGATGGAACTCCTTAAAGACTATGATTGTGATATCTTATACCATCCGGGTAAGGGCAACATGGTAGCAGATGCTCTCAGCAGGAAAAATGCAGGTATCTTAGCCCATTTGATGGTTTCAGAATGCAAACCAATTGGGGCCACACAACAGGTTCGACTTCAGGATCTGAAGAGAGTCACATGTTTGGGCCGCCTAACATTCCAGCCCGAGTTAATCTAGAGAATAAGGGAAGCCCAGACAGTTGACCCCGCCCTGGTAGCCCGCAGAAAGATGCAGAACAGGGAGGGAGCTTAGAATTCCGAATCTCTGCCGATGGATTACTTTATTTCCAAGACAGGGTGTGTGTCCCAGATGACAGTGAGTTAAAAAGAGACATCATGACGAAGTCCCACAGCTCGAAGTTTGCCATGCATCTAGGAAGCACCAAAATATACCAAAGCATGCGACCCCAGTTTTGGTGGTATGGGATGAAGAGAGACATAGCCGACTTTGTATCTAAGTTCTTGGTATGTCAGCAGGTCAAGGCAGAGCATCAGCGCCCAGGTGGGCAACTTCAGCCCTTACCGATCTCGGAGTAGAAGTGGGAACATATCACCATGGACTTTGTATCGAGGCTACCCAAGGCATGTTCAGGACATGATGCCACATGGGTAATCGTTGACTGACTTACCAAGTCTTCCCACTTCCTAACCATCAGGATGACCGATTCATTGGATAAGTTGGCAAGGATGTATATCCGGGAGATAGTCAGATTGCATGGGGTTCCAGTGACACTAGTAGGCTGGTAAAAGAGGAAAATATATTGTTTAATGATTGAAATGCAAAGGCGTGGTAAGTGTTATGTTATACAGTTTATATGATTTCATGATGATGATAATGTTATTGCTTTCATATGTTGTTTTCATGGATCTCACCGAGGTAAGTAGACAGTAAAGGTTTTTATGTTGATAAACGAGTTTGTTATAAATTATGCTTCATTGGTCATTTTTGCTTTCTACCCACATTTACTTTCGTGGCGGTGAGATAGTGTGATGTCTTTACTGGGCTGGTGTAGCTCATTCCTTATTTAACCATTTTAGATCAGGAAGACGTTGTTCCAAAGCCCGTTCCGCAGGAAGACGGCGAAAGGGACGCTTAAAGACTTCATAGTTATATTTATTGTTCTTATTTCGAGTATCTCTTTTAGTTAGTTTGTTCCTTCATGTTTTGAGTACGTTTTG